CAAAGCCGTGTTACCTATAATTTGTGTTATTGACATACTCGACAAAGTTATAATAATATTGGCTATTGCAAACATTATTATAATATTAGAACTTAAGTATTTTACCTTTCAGATATACAAAAGCAAAACACTCGTGGATAACATAAAATTAATAATTGTATTAGTTGGGCGGCAGTGAATAATAACGTTTATGTAAGGCGAATAAGACTTATAATAAATATACATTATTTTGGTTTAACAATAGGTAATAATATAAAAAACAATAAATATTGTTTGAAAAAAAATCATACATACCTACGTTGTTATTAAATGTTTTCATATTAAAAATTGAAATAAAGCCATGCTTTATGTTTTAGTGTCATTTGTGATGTAGAATTCAGAGTTTTTGTTACGTTCCCTGTTTTAAATATGCATGTATTTAATTATAAGTTTATCTACCGAGGCATTAATTAAACTGTCAGTTTGTATAGCAGTTTTATTGTAGTGTTAAATTAGTTAAACAATAAAAAAAAAATACAATATTTTTTTGGTACCATTATTTGAATCATTTGAAAATAGTTACTATTGAATGAAATTAATTTAACAAAACGGGGGAACTCGTTCTGCTGTATAATAATATGTTTTGAATGTACCTCATCATTGAGGTCACTGTAATGGATATGTTAATATGAACTCGGTGATAAATCATTGAATACAAAAAAAAATGGTTTTGATCAAAATCACTGGTAGATCGGCATACAATCCACTCTCACAAGAATGGTATGTGTTATATTATATTTATATTATTATTAGTATTTTTTTTTTAATTCGACAGGATGAACTATTTTTTACCAAAAACACAGCGTACAATTTATAAGTCATTATGTAAATACTTGTCTTATTCTTATTGAAAAATGGTAAGTTTCAATATCGTTGTGGTAAAAATTGTATACAATTATTTTTAATATTTTTAAAATGTCTTGTGCCTAAAAAGTATTCAATATGTATTGGCAAAAATTGTCAAGTCCTTACGATTAATATTTTTTGAACTACCTACTAACCAAAATAACAATTATTAAGTCGCAATTTTCGTTTAAGTATTTAATTTCGTAAAAATCTTATCTTCTCTAGCTAACGACAAATAATAGTGCCAATTGATTTTTGATATATTTTTAAATTTATACGAGAAAAACTAATGAAGCACCTTGAATTTAATTTTCGAAACTTGGCTATTAAATTTTGCGCTTTAAGCTTTCTCAAAATTTGAACTTATTTAAAAAAAAATATTCTTATATAATATTATGTATTATGGATACTTTTTATTTCTGTATGAGGAACCTTATGAGAAACGTTATTGCATTAAATTGTCAATGTTTTTAATTTATAAAAGTATAAACAAAAGTGTCAGCAAAATCTATCGAGAAACAAATAGTAAAAAAAATATTTTACAAATGTCAAGTCCCTACTTATTATGTAAGTTGTTTATTTTTAAATTACTATAAAAAAAACAAAATCGATTTTTTCTAAAACTGGATTTAAGTATTATTCATATTGATCCGTATTTTATTTTTATTTTCCTCAATTACTTTGAAAATTACTGGAAATGATTTACTCATGTTTCAAGATAAATTGTTAGGATTTCCGTTTACGAAAATTGTTCATAGTTAAATACCATCATCGTGTACCTACGATATACTTGATATCATCGTGTATAGTTTCTACCATAACAATATCTATTATGCACCAATTTCATACATTCCGATTCCGAAGTATAATCAACATCGTTATTACTTCTCAATTATATAGGAACTTCTGAGAAATACATACTATACTATATTAGTTAAGTTTGTTTGTACTTCGTACATTTAAGCTATATGGTATTGGTATATCACTGTAAAGACAATATATTGCTAAAATAATCATTTTAAAAAGTTAATTAGTTTATTTAGAATTCCTGAAAATCATATCGGTATTCAAAAATTAAATTGGCTGATCTTTAAAAACTAGAAATCAATTATAAAATAATAACTATACCCGAGTAAATATATTTTGTATGATTATAGTAATAAATAAAAATAGGGTTATTTTAAAACGTATGAAGTTAAATGATAATATTTGTAAATTTAAATTTATTTTAGTTCTATACTATATGAATAATTTAATATTATGGTGTGTACATCCACCATGTATACGATTATTCGGTCATATTTTTAATTTTTAAAAGTTGTTACTACATGCCGGGCCGTATTTTAAAAGTTATAACTTATGTACACCTAATTAGTTCAACATTGAAGTATAGATGCTATATTACGTATACAGATAGCAATTCGTTTTACTATTTTATTTCAAGAATATTATAATACTTAACAAACTTAATTTAAGACTAAAAGATATTAAGGTGGTGATGTGAATAACCGTAAAGTTAAAGTTTTTACAAAGTTTAGTCATCTGATACTCACTCGCGAAGTGATTAAACGTGAAACATTTCAAACACCAAGAAATTAAATCAAAATAATTGTGAACACTAATGAACAACTGCTTAAATTTAGTACCAACTCGTGAACTGTTTTAATTTAATATGTTTCATCTACATGCAGGCGCGCATTCGGTATGCCGTGGGGACCGAGATCATCAAAATCGTCGAAGTATATATTATATTATTTAATCTGATGTTTTGAAGATCTATATAGATTGTGCACGAACATGATAATATATATTATTATATGATGATGATGATAATAATAATAATAATATGTCCTTTGAAGTTTGAACTTGCATTTTAAATACACGAAAATCCCATCTAAATCGGTCGGTCAAACGCATATTATTACATTACATGTAAGCACGATGCCCGAGGTTTATCAGTGCACCGGGATTGGAATTTCGATGATACTGCACCGAGTTCAAAAGAGAAGGGAGAAAAAAGGAAAAAAAACCGACGTTATACCTACACACCGCTCTGTCGTCGGGTAATTTGTGACATTTAATAACGATCATCCCCCCCGTCATCGGCTATACGTCGGCGGCGGAGGACGTACGTCAAAACCACCCCTAAAACGAGCTGCACAAGAGTGGCCACTTCACGCGGGCACCCGGCCTTCCGAGCCCTATAAAACGCCACCCCTCCGCTACTAGCCTACCCCGCTGCGGCAGCAGTACACAATGCATATAAATTGCATACATGTGCGCACTGCAGTGTCGTCTCGCTGTATGATAATACGCGTAATAGTATCACGTGGTATAATATTTTATTATTATTGTTTGCGCGGGTTGTAGGCGCACAGTGCAGCCGCGGTGTGCACCGATGTACTGCTCGAAGCGTACGATCGACACCAAACGATGCGGACGTGAGGAGACAGGGGCGGTTTGTCCAAAGGCGGGTGTCTCTGATCCGAGTTTTTCCCTCCCCTTATCGTTCGCATTGAGAAAAGAAAATTGCAGGTTTACGACGACGACGACGACGACGACGACGTCTGTGTTGTATTTATTTGAATCTTGTACGGTTGTATATTACATAATATTATGTGCACAGGCGTGAGGGTGTGTGCGCCAGCAAATCGTTCCGTAATCCTCGAGCCGCACCTCTGGTATAGAGCATCGTGCTTTTCGAACGAAACGATTCGTCATTGTTTATGTTTTGACGACTTTTATATGGAAAAACGACACGCGCCCCCGCGTGGCTTTTTCGGTTTTTTTTTTTTTGTTTTTTAATACAATACAATTTATCATGTACGCACAAGTGTTGTTTTCGGGATATTAAAGAGAGCTCATAAAATATGATATATACATTTTCGTTCTGGGCGCACACGAAAATTCGGAAACATGGATTACATGGGTATGGATGTAGCTCATATAAAATAATATATACCCTAAAACGGGCAGGAGGGCGGGAGGAAGCTCGGAGATTAGCGACGGCCAGAAAAAAAAAATCATTACTACCATTATATATTATTGTTGTGCGTTATTATATTATTAAATAACAAACAACGACGACGACGGCGACGAACAATACTCGAGCTCGAAAACCTGCGACCAGCGGGCCAGTGTATACGATGGGGCGGGGGTTGGCTGGCGGCAATCGGTGGGGAGGGTTGAGTTGGCCTTTTATATTATGTATTATGTGCGCGCGGACGATGACATGCGCCGCCGCGCCCTCTCCGCGGGCAGCGCATAAAAATTCCTACGGCTCGTTACGCGCGCAATATCGCGCACTCTCCGGGGCGCCGAAGGGGGGGGGGAGGGGCTCTAAAGTCTTTAATCTGTTGAACACGCGGATCTAATCGTCGTCGTCGTCGTCGTCGTAGTCGTCGCCGCCGCCACTCGACGCCGTCCCCGCGCACCACTGCAGCCGGTCGCCCCCTTTATCGCGCGCACACTAGTCCGCGGGCGAAGTCGACGGGAATAAACGCTCGTCATTAAAATAATAATAATAATAATAATAATAATAATAATGCGACGAAAAAAAATGGATAAAAAAAATGAACACTGTTCAAAAGCCGACAGGGTACGACCCGCAACGGGTGGGCGGGTGAGGATTTTTATATTAAAAATAATAATAAACGTTACGCGGCGAGGGAATTTCATTAGCTTTTGACCGGACGGGCGCGCGTATCGCGGTGTATGCATATTATAATATGCGACGTGCACACTCGTTTTATATACATATATTAGGTATGATATTAGTTGTCCTACGCATTATTATACATCGTCTAATCATTTTATTATACATTTCAATGTGCGTGTAATGAGCGATGATTGGACGTGAGGAGATGAATGCGTGAAAAGGATTATAATTTTGTTTTCTAAAATATACAATTTATATAATTAGGTATACCTGTATGTATGTCTATATATGTATCAACTTTAAAGTTCTATACTCATATTTTGAGTATTGAACATGATGATAAGTGGAGATTGTAATATAGATAGTAATAATGTTAGGTTAAATCGTATAGATTTAATAAAACTCCAAAAATTGGAATGGTCTATTACTGCGAGTATTAATGAAAAAGAAGCGAACATATAACCAAAATTATCAAACAAGTGGATGATTTTAAAGTGTATTTGAGTGAAAAGTGCTTACCTAAAAATTTACTGTTAATGGAAATTTACATTCGTAACACAGAAGTCAGACAGAGAATGGCTACACCTAACCTTAGTCAAATTAAAATGTTTGCGACTGCTCAATTAGCTAAACTTTGTATGGATCACCGGAACACACTAAATCCGACCATCGTTCTCATCAACTGCAAAAGTCGTTGACGAAGTTTATATATATCTAGGTGTAATAAACCACGGAGGGTATTGCGCAAAATTATCTAAATCATATCCATCGAATGTAGGTGGCGGTAGACTGCTACTAATTCCATTGTTCTCGTCGATAGACTAAACAAAGTAATAATTTTTATAAATACATATTATATGAAATGAAAGCGACGTATTACGTATGTTAATAGATACAATATTGTTTTTATTTGAAGACAAATATCTTGTAAATTACCTTAGCTAGAATATATATATATATATCGTTGTCTGGAGAATAGTTTGGTGATATCGGTGAATACCCGTACTGTAAAAAAACAAAAATATGTGTTTAAATATATATGATTGTATATAATATTACACGTACGTATTACCTTAACTAAATTATCGTCATCTTTCGACGGATTGATTTCATCGCATGCATGGCATTCTTCTTCCAATCTACTCATTTCACTTATTACCAGTGAATAGCTAGGTGACAAAGAGGACACTGTTTTGACATTTTTATTAAATAGTTAAAATAAAAATAAATGTTATTTTATATTTTGTATACGAAATAATATATTAATAAATTATTACTTTAGGGTTTAGTGTGTTCCGGTAAAAAGATAAAATATTTCCCATAAGTGAAATACACGTCTGAGAAAATCCGGTGCTATTTTTGCGTGACGAGAAGAAGTTAACAAATGAATAACCACTTGACATTTTTCAACCGGGTCAATACCGATGTGTACAAATTTGCGGCTCGCAAAGTCGAGTGTGTAGCTAGTGGATTCGATGAGCTCGACCGGAGGTGATGGTGGTACATAAGTGAAGGTCTTCTTGTATATTCTATCGGCGATTGAACCAGCCATGTTTTTAGAAAAGTTTTTAAAAATAATAAAATAATGATAATAAAAGCACCTAAAATTTTACAAAAGACTTGGAGAAATAATTAACACTAAACAATATTATAAGACTTGAAAAAAAACTTTAAGCTCAGAACAATTTATAAGACTGTTCGAAACGTAGAGGAGAATTACAAGTGAGTAGGGCTGTGAACAGATTGAATGAATGTCGGCTCTTGTAGAGCCAAGTGTTTATCGACGGGCCCATTAATGGGTGGGAGATACAATATTGAGCTATATAAGAATCTAACGTGTAAGCGATTAAGACATTTTAAAGTATAGATTGGTTATTACTTATTAATGTGTGATTCACTAATAGATATTTTAAATTGTTGTTGTCGCGTATATCTATGAGTCTAGTATATCTAGTCTACGTTTACGTACAAGCGATTAAGATATTTTTAGTGCTAACTACATTTAATTTTATTAGAATATCATCCGATTATGATAATATAATATATAGAATACTATTAATCAGAATATGCTATTAACTAATAGGCATTTTAAATTGTTTATTAAACTCTAATGTTTTGTAGGTATGATAGCATTTCGTGGAAAGGTATTGATTTCATTATCTATATATCAGTTATTAATATGTTATTCACTAAATTGTTGTTTGTAAGCATACTAATATCTAAGAGACTACAGGATAAATATGTAATTGAAATGATTAAAAATATAAGTGAATAAAATATATGTTGAACGGTGGTGGGTGTGGTGGAGGTAAATATAATAATATATGTATCGGTCACTCGATGATCGGGCGGGGAGGTCAGGGAGACGGAAAATATTAGGGTTGCCATACGTCCCGGAAAACCGGGACTGTCACCAGTTTTTGACTTTGTGTCCCGGTGTCCCGAAAAATGTTTTCGGGACGCCTATATGTCCCGGTTTAAGGAAAAAATTTTAAATAATTGAAATCAAGAGTCAATATTTTAATGTTAAAGATAACGAATAATTGATAAATCCATAGGCTAAATAAAATAATAATATCGGGAATATTCAAGGACAACAAACAAGCCATGTGCGCTATGCACTGTGCAGTTTACATGTTTTATTTTTATATTTTATCGATAATCGATACGGCCAAACGGGTGATACACAGACAATGTATTTTACATCAGTAGAACGTAGGTCGTAGGCCGTAGCCTAGATTGTTCGTTTTTATTATTTTATTCGTTATTATAATATTATGGCACCAAAAAGAAAATGTCACTTACGTGACGAGTTTTCTGTTACTTGGAGTTTTATAAAAAAAGGTAGAAATGAATTTGAAGCATATTGCACTTTTTGCAAAAGCTATTTTCAAGTTGCCCACGGTGGAAAATCTGACATAGTCGATCATATTAAATGTAACAAACATACTTTATTTACTATTTTTCTGTCTGTCCCGGTTATACTTGATTAAATTATGGCAACCCTAGAAAATATACATCACGTAACGTGTGTGATCGGGCGGTATGTGATAAGATTGAAAGGAATAAGGATCGTAAAGATTGTAAGGATCGTAAAAAATTGCAAATATCGTAAAGATCGTAAGGATCGTAAGGATTTCCAACAGAATGCCCCTTTTTATACTACTAAGGATTTTCCAGAAACTAATGAAGAAAACAATCTAGATCAAAACTGACAGAAGGCAAAAAGCTGTGTACGTATCGAAAATATATTATGTTAGAAAAATCTCAACTGCAGTTAGGTTATAATTTTCCTGTATATAGCTTATAATTTAAATATATATATAGGCACAATAAAATTGTCGTTTGCAATATTTTGTGGTTATTATTGTGAACTTTGAGATGATCCTCTTAGGACTTGGGATACCTTAGCATGCATATAATACGGCGCGATAGTGTTATAGCTATTGGGCGCCCTACTCGTAGGTATACAATGTACATAATAAAATATATTTTTATATTAGTATTGGATCCTTATACATACTCTACCCACACCACGCCCTATCATCGCAACAGCTCTCGAAAGATATTAGAACGATACATCACCCCCTCCCACTGCCCGTATACTGTATCATAAACCTGTATCTTCGATCCGTACCTATACCTGAAAATTAAAACTCAATAAATCACACTACGGAGCGAACAAATATTGCAGCCGTGTACGAGAGCAGGATTGCAGGAGCTGTCTTGGGCAGTGCCCCAACTACCGGTGGTGCTTGGGATGCAAGGAATCCCCGGGGCCCCATTGAATCATATGGCCGAACCATTTGGTTGTACATTTTTTTCTGAATTTTTCTATTTACAATCTAATATACAATATGAAATAAAAAATAAAATGATCGTTCATTTTAGGCCATTGCAGCATTAACTATTTTGCAAACAGCTGTAATAAATCTAAGAAAACATAAGAAACTGACTTATTTATTTTTATTTAAAAATAGAAGTTTTTGTCGATATGAACCTTATAGAATTTATTTTGTGATATTAAAGTATGTCTTGTATACTTATCGCACCGTGACGAGCAGAATCTCTAAATTCGGCAGGATCCTTTTATAGGTATCTAAAGTTTAAAATACTAATATTTATGTAATTAAAATAAAAATTTTAGTTCATTACTTATTCACTGCACATAGTATTTTCGAAAGAAGTATCCTACTTATCCAAGAAATTTAAAACATAATCTGCCATTTGAAAAAAGGTAATAAAACATTATTAGTAGTTGTTAGTAGTTAGGATGAAAATATTTATTTTTTTATACAATGTACAAATATGTATGCACAAATAAATTGACCGATTTAATGAGCTAATGTAAATCACCCTTAAACTGAACCAGAGTCGTTAATCACGGAATTAAAGAACGCGTGATTCGTGGAGACGGCAGGCGGTGTTTTTCATGCAAAACCGATCGAGAAAACGAATTAGGTGTCGTGGTCTCCCCCAAACCAGCGTTAATTTATCGCCAAAGAGTGTGTGGGTTTTTGCATTTACTTATGTATAGATATTTATTGTACGTATTATAAACGCATTTTTCCGTTTAGGCGGTGACGGGAATTTATTGATAGTCACGGATTTTATGGGCATAGACGAGATCCTGGCAAATATTAGGGGGGGGGGATCTTAAATATTTGATACTATATAGTTGTAGCAAAGCCCCATTGTTAGTATCCCTAACAAATTTACCAACATAAACTTTTTTAACATAAACACTACATACTTATTTAGTAATTTATTACAAATATGGGTACATTGAAACATGTAGGTATTTAATTATAAATTACAGAGTCAAAATTATTGTAAAAAAAAGTTATCTTTTGCAACACTACCATAACCAAAATAAATTACTATTATTATTATTATTATTTATTCTATACATTATTTATTAGGATGCCAATACACTATTTGCTCCCTCTAACCACGCAACAAACCGAATTTTCGTTTCGCATACTAAAGTACCAACCTTGTTAAGTGAACTTTAATATTACAGAGTGAATTGACTTTTTATAAAACTTTGAGATGGGAAAATTATCATTTACCTGTGATTGAACGTTGCCTTTTTAAGGATATTTCAACTTTTATACAGTTAGTAATTTTATGTCTAGTTTTATTATAGTAGATATAATTCTGAAATGAAAGTTGAACGTAAATATTATTCAATAATCAGTAATTTAGGTATGCTATTGCTTTGAATAAATATATGCTGTCTTAGAATAACAAAATCATATATATATAATTATTAAGAAAACGAACTTAAAATGACCAATTTGAGGGTTTGAATAACATTTAAGCTCAAAGCCCCTTAAGGCCCCTTACCCAATTTCTTCCAATAGGATCGAGAAGTATCGATACTATATAGAGAAAAATAAAAATCTAAAATGTATGAAAGATAGGTAGGTGCACGTGTAGGACTCTAGGAACATAATAATAATAATAATAATAATAATATATAATATAAAAACTGTAAAGCACATTTTCTTTGGTAAGGAATTCAAAATTCACCCCGTACGACCGATTCCTATATTATATTATTCAAATTATTATTATTATACGTGTGCGGCGTATCTACTGCAGTGTACGCCTTTGCCATTTATGATGTTTGACCGACCGGAAGTTATTTTAATATTCTGTATCGCTCAGGAATGCCTTTGTACCGCACGGAATTACACGCGATTCGGTTCCTTGTTTGTCAAATTGTATCATAACCGCTGCAGCTCTGCCGCGTATTGTTATGTATTATTATTATTATTATTATTATACTGTTGTAATAATAATATTATTATTATTTCGCCGAGTCTGAAGGCTAACCGAAAGTTTATGCACACAATCGCAGTTGACCGCCGCCGCAGCCGTCACTGGTCATCAGCGACGGACGGACGACTATATAATAATAATATAATATATGTGCGTGTGTATACGGTGTGTGCTACAGTGATTAATGTCTTTTCGGACGTCCTTTTAATAACACGTCACGCGGAGGACAGGACGACATTATTGTATTCGTGTAAGAGTTGACATCTGTAAAAGGGCTTTTCTGCTGGTCGGCGGGAGCGGTGCAGGAAAAAAAAACACTAGAAAATGTCCCCTTTCGACTTTTAATAACAGAATAAAAGTAATTTATCAAGATACCAATAATAAACAAAAAAATAATAATAGGTGTAAAAAAAATGTTTTGATTGATAATTCGTATAAAAAGATTATAATAATAATAATAATAATTATAATAATACACATTATTATATATTTTTATAAAACGAGCACAGCATTGTGTACAGTGTACCTATATGCGTAAAGGTATACGATGGAAAAAAATCATATCGCGATTGTTATCCTCGTTTGGGCGTGTGGGTCGTTGGCTATGGACGGCACGGATGGGTATATCTGTATGGGCAAATCCCACACCATTGTCTCGATGTCTACGTGTTCCGGGCCTGTCCAGCAAGTGCCCTCCTTGGTTTCCACCAACCGTTCGCCGGAAGTCTTCGTACTGGTCACGAATTCAAAGTGAAGCCTCCATTTCACGCATACTATTTTACATAATAATAATATAATTATATTATACACAACGCGCAGGTACCACTATTATACTAGCTTAATTGGAGGCGTATACCCGCTGCAGCGTCATATTATTTCGGGCAATATTTGCTTACCACGTATACAGACTGGTATAGCAAAAAAAAAAACTTAAGTCGATGATGAGGTTTACAACTTAAAAACAAAAATAGGGCATGTGACTTTCGAACAACAAAAAACACCCCTTAGGTACCTACAATAGAATGTATGCGACTATAATATTTAGCTATATATACTTTAGATTTATACTATAATTCATGTGTATATTATGCGAACACTTGCGGGGAGCGGATGACGTCTACTTATTTAGGTACCTATGTCCTATACACTGCTACAGAGGTGTATTCCGCTTTACACGGAATGTGTATAGGTATAGAAAAATTTGAGTCATTATTTGATCGTTTTTTGGAAATACAATTTTTCTCTCTTCCTACTAGGTGCCTTCATTCGACAATGTGCACCTCAAGATAATATAAACATATATTACTACGTAACAATATACAATATATAATTACCTAGGAGCGTACTAAAAGCTGGGGTGACGTTCAACGGTATAGCGAGCTGCAGAAATGATTTCAAGGTATTTGCACAGAATTGATGTTGAGTGTTGTATGAAACGATGGATACGTTGTCTTTTCTGGGTCTCGGACTGACCGCTACAAAGTCTTTATTCACGGCTTCCTCGCACTGCAAGCTTACTGTAAACTGTATGAACAATACTAAATATTTGTATGGTTATGTAATAATAATAATAATAACTATTTGTTGTTTGGAGACCGTCATCAAGTGACCAATTTATGATGTGAATTAGAAATACTCATACATATACATTTATTAAACAGCTTACTTATATTAATAATTCTGTAAATGTTATTGTAAAGCCACTAGGTGTCCCTAATGAGGGATTTCCTACCTTGTTATCATTAGTTCATAGTTTTTCTTTCTCTCACCATAATTATTACTTATTGTACACCCCTGTATAGATTGTAATATTCAAAATAAAGTCATTTTTATAAAAAAAAAAAAAATATTAATAATTTTAAATATTAAATTATTAAATAATATTTTATACAATCATGATTGTTACTATACTCTTAAGTTAAATTGTATTCCTTCTTTATCAATATCAAATTGTGAATTATTTTTTTTATTTATTTATTTTTTCATTTTAAATTGTATAAATGTTTAAAATTACTTCTAGATAAGTATTCTTGCTTTACGATAAGAGGTATTACTCCAGTATAGAGCAAAGCTAGTAACTTCATATATTCATCCATGATCCATCATATATGTGTGGTAGGAATTTCCATCAATTTTATCCAATATCAGGAGAAATATAGATAATTACTTTGATGGGTGAGTGATGCCACTCTCGGATTGATCTTGCTTTGCACCGAATTTAGTGAAGCTAGACGATTTAAAAAAAATTTATTATACACGAATGTATTATCAGAGATGGCAGTTTTGAAAAAAAAAATTCTTCTTATATTAATTATAAGTTATAATATCATAAAAGATCTAGGATATATTTTTATTCCGGCCTTGAACATGGATTTTATACGACGTCTAAACGAACATAATACAATTAAGAGAATGAAATTATGTGTGTTTTTTTATACTCCCCAAAATAACTCTTAATTACTCTTTAAAATTATGATAATTACTTCAACATTTTGATAATGAATAATGGAACCTAGATTTTTTTATACTTACTATGATATGATTAAGTAGTTAAATAAACAATTTAAAAAAAAAAGTTATTAATTAGTGTCGTATCTCGTAGTTTGTCCATTAATTTAATACATTATAAGGATAATACTTAATAAAATTAAAAAGTACATTACAATTGACCAAAAAAATAAAAAGATCGTAAACTAGCTAATAAAAAATGTATTGATTTTATAATCATTTGGGTCTTTATTTTTTAAGGTAAGTATTTAACAATTTCAGTAAATACTTTATTGAAATAGAGGAAATATTCCATATTTAGATTTATTTATATAGATCAGAAATGAAGAACCACATACTTATTATAATAAAGTATGTTATTTTAGTAAATCAATAGTAAATCAATAGTTTTCAAGAAAATTGCCAAAAAACTATCAAATTTATACAATTGAACTTTGAAGCTATATGCTTGAATACTATTTTTACCAAATATATTGAATTTTAGGTTTTCATCCGCTGTGGACTCAGCTATTGTCCAGGAAAATATGTTTATAATCATAATCTTACCTTTAAATGTTTATAGTTATTAAAAAATAAACAATGGATAATATTTTTTTATTTCAGAATATTATACCCTTAAGATAAAATTCATGTCAACTTCAATACAAATGTTAATTATATATATAATTAATTTGATTCTGTCATGGAGTGGAATGGTTTGGGTTTGTTTATTACTTTAAGTTGTTTAATTAAGTAGGTAAAGTCTCTTGCTTAGGTGATCATGATTATATTATTATTTTCTATAATTAATGTAGACATTTTATTTTATATAATATTAATATAATTTGGGTTATTGTATTCATTTGGGGAACTCCCATTATTATTTCGTTATTTTTATCACACCTTAAGTAAGTATTAAGAATAAGAAATTAAAATGTATAGTTAAATTACATAATATTAATTATTAAATGACGTTTATGGTTTGATTTTTAACACAATACTCAACTAAATTTAAATATTTTCACGATCTCGTGAATATTTTGTTGTATTTGTTTAAAAAACAATGACCACGGCATTATTTGACGAAAATGTGTTTAAATAGGGTTTTGGAGATGAAAAATTGTCGGAGGGGGAATAATAATACGGTTGCATTCATAAACGAGCCATTTACAAAAGTGTCAAGAACCAAATTAAATAATAAAATATAATTTTACGGTTTTAGTGAATTTATGAAGGTTGTTGAAAATTGAAAATCAATAATGTACATAATTATAACCGAAATGTATAGCAATGTACCCAAAATTAATGGCTTTTATTAAACTATTATAATCGCTTTACATTATTAGATATTTATTCACGAACCAGACGAACCACATAATACTCGTTTGACCGCGTTGAAACCAAAAGTTCAACAAATCCTATTATATGCCTAGTAAGCTTTAAAATCAACCCTATTAGTAAACGTCATTAGTGTGGAATCTCCATTTATGATAATGCATTTATGCATTTATAATTTATATTCTAAGAATTAAAGTTATTATGGCGATTATGGATAGAAACATGGAATTCTGGGTTGAACTCTTCTCGCTTCACTCACCTTGGTACAAGACAGTGTTGTATTATTATTATATGATTTGTAATAAATGATAGATAATAGCATCTAAATAATTTTGCATTTATTATTGGATGTTAGGCACTATAGACCAATTAATATAAATAGATGTATGTTCAACACATGGTAATCGAGTGCATATAAATACCTATATTTGTTTCAAAATATATTTCAAAATAAATCTGTAACAATACGTAACTATACTTTCAAATGGTTGTGCGTAACTGTAGATGAAGAATCTACTTGCTCCATCTATCGGTTAAGTAATATTTTCTCTGTGCACGAATATAATGCACTCAAAATAATGTTTTTAACATGAACACTGGAAATTCTACACTGAAGCTTTAAATTTACTATTTATTAATGGAAATTAATTAAGCGAGATTTTTTAACCAAAATCAACCTTATAAATGTAACAAAATAAATAGAGATAGAGAAACTTATAATATTTGCAAAGAATGCAGTTTAGTTCCCAAGCTTTTTTTTTTAAATGCTTGTTTTCGCATAATTAATTTGATAGTACTTTTAAAATTAAGTCGCTCCAATTTCATTAAGAAGTAAAATGGTCGAAAAACTTCAAAATGCTCGATTTTTCTAAAAATCTTGTATTTAACTAGTAAAAATACTAAAAATTTACATTTTTGGAAATGTTGGTATTTAATACATAACATTTTAGTGGAATCAGAATTCAACTACAATTCATACTTTTGAAGTTATTGTTAATAAGCCACTTGAAACTTAATTATAAACATAATTAAAAACAAAACCTAATTGAGCATGCAAAAACACAAATATTGAAAAAAAATCCTAAAAAATTTTTTAAGAGCAAAACTGCATTTATACCCAATATTTATGTAGATATCTTCATAAATTTCAAACAAAGTGGTTTTTAACCTATTTAAAAAAATGCCAAATATTTTGTTACTCAAAATTTTAACGGCATACCAACTACTGAGTCTTTTTGACATATTATAATGTTCAGTTATGCTACAAATATAGTAAGGTATTTATCTTAACAATTTGTCACCGACTGCTGAAAAGCTTTTCAATACGAGTAAATAATACAATTGAGTATATATATATACATGTATGCTAATATATATTTATATATACTCAGTCTCAATGATGATACACACGTTTAAAACTATGAGTAAAATATTCAATGAATGATCCGATTGCAATTCTCATAATCTTTATTAAATATTAGAAATCGGTGAAGCACAAAGAGCAGACTTGTCCAAAGTTCAAACAACAATCATAGTTTAATAGTTTCTAGATTAAAAAAAAAATTTAACAGTTCTGAATTTACGTTTGAACACCCCTTGAAAACTAATAGGGTCTAATATCATGCAGGCAATATAAAATAGACCGATCAACTTATATTTCAATATAAGTACATAAAAGGGGAATTCCTTTACCAACATTTTATTTGAAATATGTATACATACAATCATGAAATCAACTAACTAATTATGTGCATACAATATTGCCTTACATTTTTTAGATACTTATAATTTATAAGCTTACTCTTACAAGTAGAGCATCTCTATTCAATTTATTAAAAACTCTAATATCTGTAACTTCTTTTTTAAAAATTGATCACCCTTATATTTTATTAATAAATAGAACATATAATGTTCTTCTGAAGATAGGCATATTTAAGGTGAGGGGGTACAAGATCATTAAATTGCACGGTGTCTTAGGTTTTACAATACAATAATTTCGCTACACTATCATATTGTTTTAGGCTCACAAATCATCAACACATACAACTATTTCAAACTGTTATTGATTTTTTAACTCCTAGTATACCTTAACTATATTTGTTAATTAAAGAATTACAAAAGTGAAAAATAGTTAACTAAAATATATAGATTTAGTATATACCCAAAGAATACATAAAATAATAATAATATATAAATATACAATACCTCTATACAAGACACATCTGTTTGTTCAAAATCAAAAGTTCCAACTATATCTTCACCAAGTCTGTAAGCTTGTTTGAATAAACAAAATCGAGCTACTTTCCCTCCAGAGTTTGTTATATTGTAAAAATTGGGACTTCGTTTAGCAGTTATATTCTATAATAATTCAAATACAAAGTACAAAATATTTACTATAGACATTTCTTTATTTCTGTATTTAGTTTTAATTATTAGCAATTTTAATTGTTTTTATTTATTTTCAATTTTAATACATACTTGAAGCATTTGTAGAGCCATATCACATTCTTCATGTTTGTATTGAGAATCTAAAAATGGATTACTTGGAGATAAATCAATACTATTCTCACATGTCACTCCTTCAGTAAGTCCTATAGCACAAATATAGATATTTTAGTAAGTCATACAAAAAATAATTATTTAAAAAAAATTACCATGCATAACAACAACACGTATTGGTACCCTCAATAATTTAATTGGACTGTTTAAACGCTGCATACCAACTGTAATTTTGTAAGCATATTTAACTAAATGTCCTTTATATGATGGTGGCGCATCATTAGGCAATGTATCGCTGTATAAATCTAAAAAATATATATAAAAGTTAAACAGTGATTCTTTTAAAAGCACGGTTGTAGATATACTGGTTGCACAACTCTATGAAATAAATGTACTCTCTCATAATTGCATTGTCATAATGACGAAGAACTACTGAGCACTCCTTGTGTGATATTTTTGAAACGTTAACTTAAACAACCATAGTCTGTACAACAATTTGCTGATAGGGTTCACTACAATCTAGTTCTACAAGGGGCCTTTTTATATTATTTTATGTTTTATCAGATGACATATTGAATGGTCCATGTTTTATAAGAAATTTAATTTAGAAATTGTGTAATCAGTACATCGTCATTGACGGAAACATCCCACCTATGTAAAAAAAGTGTAGTTTTCAGGAAATACACAAAACGTTTTAAACAAAAAATCACATAGGAGTTATTTCATAAAAAAATTATAGTTGGTTAGGTTAGGTTACACATTGGAGGATTTTTCTACGATGGAGATAGCACATAGGAAGTATTTCCTAAATGATTTATTGTAGGTAACACCAGGTAACACAAATAAGAAATTGTTTATTATTTTTCATTAATTCTACGATATGGATAACACAGTCACATAGGTATTTTTATCAATAAATAAAAAAAAGTTTTCTGAATCAATGGATACCAAAACCTCAAAATCATAAATTTGGCACAATGGTTTTTTCCTGTCAACGACAATAATTGTAGTGTTACCTAAGAATAGTGTACTATATACTATAGTGTACATATGTACTTAACACTAATAATATGTCTTTGTTTATTAGAGTTTGATTAGAAAGATATTAATTAAATAAACTAATATAAGTAATTTGGAAAATAGGTCATACATCTTAAATTATATCAATATAATTAAATTTGTATACTACTTTAATACTTACATGATTTACTTTCTCCAGGAGATAATCCAACATCACAAAACAAAATTTTTGGTTTTGTAGATAAAACAACATGACCGTTATCTGTTAAACATGGTGCAAATGAAGTTTCAGAATTTCCTATGAATTTCTCATCTTTAGTAACACACATTGCTGATGGAAAATTAATATTGTCGTTGGTTAAACACAAACAATTAATTTGCACACTAGCCCATGCTAAGTTTTCTAAAACGTCACTGGAAAGAAAACAAGATTAGTGAAAAATAAAAAAATGTGTCATATAAAGAGGAAAGTAAACTAAATTAACTATATTATTAATTTGGGTAAATACTTATTAAGTACTATTTAAGTAGATACTTAAAATGTATTAAAGTGAAATATTATTATAGAAGTTATAAAACTGTATTAAATTAAATGTGTATAACATATAGGTACCTATTATGTTATAGACTTTCTGAGAAATATAAAAATATAAATTCTTACCTATTACTTTGGCTTCGAGAATCAGATGGTAATGGCGGATGAGTAAATGTTATACAGCAACCAATTTTACTACCCGGCATAAATATCGGACCACCAATAAGTTTGGCTGATACCTCAATCATTCCACTGCCTTGTACCGGATTGAATAAGCTAAAATAAATTAACTTTGTATCAAGATATTAAGTGATAACTGTATTTATAACATGAGTGTACAACAGATCTATTGTAATAGTATACAATTATATTTGTGGAATTGTCACTTTGAAAAAACAAAATAATTATAATTTATAATGCATAAATGCATATTATAAAATATTATTATTCAAAAAATAAAATATAGAAATTCAAAACAATTTCTTATCAATAATTTATCATTTTGTACATTATCAATCTTTTATTTTTTGTTGATACGAGTTATCAGAAATCAGAATTACCCCGAATGGTGTAACTGATTTGTGAATCAAGATTCAAGCACAGATTATATTCAGCAAAATTAAAATTAAAATAATATTTAATAAAATCTGAGATTCAAGATTCCAATCTTTCCAGAAGGCCGAGGCACTTGGCAGAAAGCCGAAAGAAATAACCCAGTAACAGGGCGATTTAATTAAAATTAAAATTTTTAATGATTTTTTTAATTAGGTATATATTTTAAAATTACAAAGTGGTATTAGAATTTCCGTTTTTGTTATTTAAATTAAAGTTCAATTTATTGCGATATTTTTAAATTTGATATTGTAACATTTTAAGCATGTTAAGTCTTGGTAAATGTTTTTGTGGTATAGGCACAAAGATGAGTCCTAATTTTTCAATTGGAAAAGTAATGTTACTGTGTTTAATTTAATATTTTGTTTACTTTAAGAAACATTATTATTTTTATGTTGTAGAGGTTGCTATTAAGATCCAAACAGCTATCCATCACTCGTCAACCATCCATCCACAATACATCAATATCATCAAATTTAAATGTAAGTACAATATTATTGCTGTAACTATTAATTTATATAGTAAACGTTTTTGAGATGGATAAAGACTTTGACATTTTTCGTTACAAGTTGTACAAGTCTGTTGCAAAAATATATAATTGTGAACTAAATTAATGTAATGTAGTTTATTAAAATAAACAAAATTATTTATCATTATTTATTACATTTCAGTTGAATGTGTGGAAAAAATCTTTTAGTAACGTTCAAAAAGTAGAAACTGATCCAAAATATGTCGGTTATTGGTTTCTTGGTTGCAGTGGGATGGTTTTTGTAGCTGTTGCCTTGGGCGGAATAACCAGGCTGACAGAATCAGGACTATCTATGGTTAGTTGGAAACTTTTAGGTGAAAAATTACCTACTACTCAGACTCAGTGGTTGGAAGAATTCAATAAATATCAACAATATCCTGAATTCAAAATGTTAGTTAATGTCATCAAGACTATTTGAAACAAATTTGATTCTAATATTTATTTTAGGAAAAATTCTACTATGACTATAGAAGAGTTCAAATGGATATGGTGGATGGAGTATGCACATAGGACTTGGGGTCGATGTATAGGTGCTGCATTTTTGATTCCTATGACGGGCTTCTGGCTAACTCGTAAATTTAGCCGTACTACTAAAATTCATTCTATGATTTGTGCTACATTGTTAGCAGGACAAGTATGACATTAATACATTACTATATAAATATTTAACTTTATTAAATTTGTAAATTTACCTCTAAAAGTTTTCGTATTATAATATTAAGGTTATTGTAAGATTTTTAACTAAAGACTATTGTTTTTATAAATAGCCACATTAATCAAGAAGTGTGATCTAAGTAGTTGAATAACTAATTTTAATCTATTATTTATTTATAAGAAATAATCAACTAAATATTATTATACATCTATTACTACAATAAAAAATTAATAAAATCCATAAGGAGGTTAAAAATATATCAAATGCAGCTGTTAGAAAATACATTGTTATTCTTGTTATTTCTAGTGCTAAATGTTTAAGTTAACTATTATAAATTATAATTGTTGAATTTAAACTTTAATGTGTATACCATTAGTAATAAGTTATAAGTAATTTATATATATATATATACTATACTCATAACCATATTTTCATTTTCATTTTACTTGATAAATTTAAAAAAATTTGTTATTGATTTTTATTATTATACTTTTATTTTAGGGTTTGATGGGATGGTATATGGTTAAATCTGGTCTAGAAGATAGATTTGACAAGCCCACAGATGTTCCAAGAGTATCACAGTATAGATTGGCTTCCCATCTGGGTTTAGCATTTGTGTTGTATTCATTTCTTTTAACAAACTCATTACGCATTCTCCTACCAGTTACAGTAACTGGATGTGTTACAAAAAAGTTTGTGGGACTGGCAATGGCAGCTAAGGGCTTAGTTTTTTTAACCGCTATGTCTGGTATGTATAATGAATAATCTAGATTCTGAAAATATTATAATTGATTTAAAAATTAACTTTTCTATTCACCCAACTTTTAGGTGCATTTGTGGCCGGATTAGATGCTGGATTAGTTTACAATTCTTTTCCAAAAATGGGTGACAAATGGATACCAGATGATATATTGCAAATAGATCCTGTACTTAGCAACATAACGGAGAATCCTACCACAGTGCAATTTGACCATAGAATATTGGTAAATTATAACATTTTTTATATTAAAAAAAATAATAAACTTCTTATTTTGATATTATCTTTTAGGGAATAAGTACCGTTTCAATTCTGTCAGCTTTATATGTTATGTCTCGAAAAAGTAAGCTGCCTCCAAGAGCTAAAGCTGCTGCTACTGCTTTAGCAGCTTTTTCATGGTGCCAAGTAAGAATTAATTGAAAATGTTATGAAATTATGTTAACATATTATAACGTTATTGGTTAAAATTGTTTTACTTTAGATGGGATTAGGAATTTCTACACTTCTTACTTATGTTCCTGTTTCACTAGCTGCTGCTCATCAGTCAGGCTCACTTACATTACTTTCACTTGCTCTATGGCTTGTACATGAACTCAAAAAATTACCTAAAGTTTAAATTATTAGATTAAGTTTAGTGTAATTTAAGATTATAATAAATAAAGTAAGTATTCATAAATGATAAAATTATTGTTTTTATTCAATTATTTAACACTTATCAGTTATCAGTATCTATAGTATTTGCTTTAAATCAAACCTTATACTTATAGACGGAACATAGTAGTTACACATGTTGATGATGTGCCTTGTCCCACGAAGCACTGAAGCATACTGCAAATGCACATTAGCGATTCATTCATAAGTTAATACACGATTGCTGTTATCATTACGTCTACTTTTTAATATTAACACTAATTCTGTGCTAATTCTCTTTACTGTACCACTTTACCCTGCCAATCCAGTATCTTCTGTCTATTAGTATTCATCGTAAGGTTTATGTTTCAAACATAATTATGTTTGTGTATAGAAATATAATTGTTTTATATTACTTAATTTTCAAAAGTGGTATGCATAATGTACTTATTCCTTTTTTTAAAGATTGAAAATGTTTGTGTAAAAGCAAATAGGAATATAGGGGGAAGAATCTATTATTTGAGAATTTGGAAATGTGCAAGTTTTTATACATAGATCCTATGTTATTTGTTAAGATTTGATAAAATTAAGTTGATTAAAAAATAACAAAATAAGTAGTGGTCAAACAATTGTATATTTATTTCATGTAACGTTGGAAATATAAACAATTTAAATAATAATAGATGTTTTAATACTTAAAAACTATTTTACCAAATAATTTTTAAATTTAAACATGAAAAGAAATAAAATAGGAAAGGTAAGAAATTCTTATTATTAAAAATATTATTAGTGTGTATTAAAAAATAACCTTTAGAAAAAAGGCGCAAAAAAAAAATCGCGGAAATCTGGCAAGAAACAAAAAAAGAAATCTAAAAAGGCCCAACGTGTAAAACCTAAAGTAGTTAAACCAGAATCGCCTCCACCACCACCACCACCATCACAAGGTGAGTTCATATGGATTCATATTGGGCAAGCTGGTGTTCAAATTGGATTAGCATGTTGGGAATTATTTTGTCTTGAACATGGAATCAATCTAGATGGAACGGTTAGAGAATTAACTACAAATTCTACATCAATGTTTTCTTTGTCTCAAGACAACTCCTATGTCCCTAGGGCTCTGATTGTAGACACTGAACCTTCAGCTATAGGTTAGTAATTAGAATCATAGACCATTCTGGTACAGTTTCAACAAAATAGTATACTAATAAATTGGTTAATTTCAGATCTTTTGAAAAGTGGAAATTCCAAAAACTTATTTTCTTATGAGAATATGATATCTGGAAAAGAAAGTGCAGCGAGCAACTATGCTGCTGGTTTTTATGGGGTTGGCAAGAAACTTTCATCAAAAGTTATGGATCAACTGGCACGTTTAGCAGAAGATTGTAATTCATTACAGGGTATTGCTGTGTTTAGATCAATAACTGGTGGTACTGGATCTGGGATGGGTTCAAGGATCATTGAAACTATTAAAAATACTTATCCCAACAAAACAATTATTGACTTAAATGTTTGCTCTTCATCAGAAGTTTGTTTTCATTATCATCAATGTAACAATATTTTTGTAAACATTATTACATAATAGAATTTTTACAGTTTTCAAATATTATTGTGGAACCATATAATACTGCCTTGGCCACTCATCATGTCTTAGATGTAGTCAATTGTTCTTTGCTCTTTGATAACAAGTCAATTTATGATATATGTGGCTCTAAATTAGATTTGCTTAAACCAACTTATGCAAACATAAATAGTATTGTAGCACTAGTATGTATTATAATTATGCAAACAAATATCCATTATTAAATATTACAATATTAGGTTACATCTGGTATTACTTCATCACTCCGGTTTGAAGGTTCAATGATTGGTAACATTTCGGAATTGTTAACGAAGTTAATACCTCAACACAGATTGCATTTTCCATTAATTTCATATGCTCCCATCACAAATTGTGCCAGAAGTATATCATCAGCCAATACACAATCGGCTGTTATGAGTTTTGATAGTGATTATCAAATGATAAAAATTGACCCGAAGCTGGGAAAATATTTGTCAATATGCATGATGTTCCGGGGGAATTTAAAACCAACCAATATTAATACAACCATTGCTTTTCTTCAAAGAGAACAAACTATTCCCGTAACACATAATATGAACTCTCCGCTATTTAAGGTGAGTGTCACCAATTTTAATTTAAATTGAGTGTTAAAAATATAAATTGGTTTTTTTTTCAGTTTGGCCTATGTAATCTACTTCCTATTGCAGTGCCAGGTAGTGGAATTATTGCAGCCTCTACAGCAACAACAATGTTGTGTAACAATACTATTATAAAACAGTATTGGATGAACACAATGGACAATTTTAATAAACTGTTGGCCAAACGAGTATTTTTACATCATTATACTGGAGAAGGGATGGATGAAGCAACTTTTGATATAACTAATGGAAACATTTCAAAATTGATAGCAGAGTATGAAGAAATTGAAAGATCATAATATTGAACAAGGTTGTTTTGTTAATACAATTTTTGTATAATATGTTGTAAATAATAAACTTATTGGTCATTCGGCGCTAAGTAAATTTTTAATATGAAATCATTTTTAAGGTGTAATATTTTACATATTGTTATGAGCTTGTAAACAACTTAAATATCTTAAAACAGGTAACACACAATCAAAATACCAGACAATAGGTCAATTTACTCTAATACAGTAATACTAAAGCTTATTACACAGTTGGATCAGTTGAACACGAATTTGCCATGTTGCAGATGGGTCAGAGAGAGAAGAAAGTTAATACTTAATAGTGCGCTGAAATCCATTTGATGTTTTGAATGTTAATTTAAATTGAATAGTTACATTTACAATATGTTAAATATTATATAGTTTACACTTTAACATAATAACATATTGGCAGTAAGTGAAAATTATTATGAATTAAATGTTTTATAGCTCAATAAAAGTACAATATTAACTTGTTTATAAGTTCAATCACACATTATGATTGCTAGTTTTTATGGTACCTATCTGTAAAATCTGACCAAAATTTTATATCATTAGATATATTAAATAATAAAAAATAAAAAATATATAAGGTTAACAGTATTAATACCTAAACTTAAATAATATGACAGATGTATCTTTCTATGGTTCCTTAAAATTGTAAATATTGATATGAATTTAAGTCATTACTCATTGGTGATTAAAAAAACACTGCTTGGTATCTAATTCTAGACTTAACAAAGTTTAGTTTAATAATTATATGAATGTATATAATATGATGATAACCAAAGTTTTGTGTTATTATTTGTAAACAGTAAACCTTGCAGTTTTGGAAGGTCATTATTATGTATGCACTTTTTTGTACAAGTTTTTATTAAATAAATATTGTGAAATTTCTAAGATCCGTAACCGAATCATAAAAAACAATATGTTAAGAACTTTGGTAGATTACTATTTTTTAGTATTTACAACATATAAATGGGTAATATTAAAAAAAAAATTATTATTTGATTTGATTGTGATAAGTTCATGCTATCTTAAGTTGTTTTTAAACAATAGGTAGGTACTCAACAGATGTTTCCGAATAATTACTATATCCATTATCCATAAAGCTACTACTTAATGTGTAGATAAATTACTTGAGATAATACTATTCAAATTAATTTTATTCAAGTATTAAATATACTTAAATAATTATGTTTTGACAGTTGTGTATTAGATATTATGAATAATCAGATCACTATTTATTTAAAATATTAATTGCAAATACTTCAGTGTGTATTGGTAACTATAGTAGAATGGTATGGGGTACCATAGCTACTAATTTAATATTTTATTTACAATCAGAAGTACCAGGTTGCAATGATTTATGGTAAATCGTGATTTTGATAAATTAAAATTATTTTTTAATAGGTAGGTGAAACTGATTTGAAATTTAAGTCTTAACAACTGCCAACCTGACTTAGCTAGAATCATGGCAAGAATATTTTGAAGTTTATAGGTAGGTACCTACATTGGATTGTTACACTTGAACTTTATTATATATTTTTTAATGTTTCTCTTTTCATGAGGTCCAAGGCAATTTGAAATTGTGTTATCAGTTAGCTTGGCCCTGTTGGACCTGTCCTTGGCCAGTACATATTTATTTATCTGTTTGGTCGAGATTAGTTTAAAGTTTTGTTTTATTATTAGTTATTACTTATTATACACAAGTAAGTGATAGTATATAAGATAAAGTATTATTGTTTTGTTTTTATATGACGTACCTACCTATCTACCTAGGTATCTGGTTATAATTAATTGTTTGAATTTTTACGTAGGGCATTCCAATATTCCTTTAAATAACTATCAATACCTAATGTACAGTTGACCTGGTTCGAAATTCGTATAAAATTCAACTTACTAATAAGTTATAACTAATAAGTAAATACCTACATACTTACCCACTTAATAATAGTTTATTAAAATGTGTACCTACCTATAGTAATAAGTATGTTGTGTATGCTTGTATATTTGTATACATACCTACCTACCTATTTAAATATATTAGGCATTACCTATGTTGCAATTTAGGTAGGTACCGATGTGTTGCGTAGGTAATTGTACGAACTTTCAGTTGGTTAGTTTTCAAAATATTAAGCAAAACTACGGTAAAGATAAGCCATACTACGCGTACCTAGGGTACCTAATTTAATATAGCACATATTTCCAAAAAATTGTTGACCGTTGTTCTATGAATCGGAGTGTTTAAAGAAAAGAGGATTTTATGAAAGAAACTATCGCAATACCACCTTTGTAACCCAATGTTTATTTTTTGAAAATCCGTTTTCCTTCTCTCATAAGCTGACCTCTGGATCTCTCTACAATCTACATAAATATTAAATTGGTGGGGCAGAGTCCAAATTGTTTTCAATACTCGAACAATGTTTGCATAATCAGCGCTAGCCCAGATAACAAAATTATTTTCTGGACAAATAATATCTCTATAATTGAAAATATTCTTACATTACTACATTAGTTATAGCCTTATAGGCACCTACCGGACCTACAGTTATACATTGGACACATAACATAGAATATAAAAATGTAATGCTCATTATTGCTACCTAATTAGTATTTTCTCAATTACTACCTACCTACAATAGAATATAGATACCTACCTATCTAAAAACAATTTATTTTTTATTGAGTCCAATTTACCTACATTTAAATGTTTTCGGTCGCATTTGTTCTCACATACCTACCCATCGAGAAATATAAAAGAAGTACTCTATTATTTATATTTAGTGCCACTAGAGTCAAATTTCCAACTTATTTGTTATCCCCGTTCTGCACTCACTCAAAACATTCTAAGTACAACTTGGGAAGTCTCTCTGTTGTGGGTACCTACATACATAGTAGGTTTAGAGAGGATGTATATGTGTACATCGTCATAAAGTAAGTAACCATATGAATGTGTGTTGTACATTTGAATTCAATTATTTAAAAGACGAGCAAAAATACTGAGTGGTGTCTGCCTCTTTATATATATATAAGGATATTTTATAATCTATACTCTATAGTCCATACGTAGGTACCCAATTTATTTTTCAAATTAGCCATAGGGTATATTTTATACATTAGGTAGGTACCTATAACTTATACACAACAGTGACGACGAATAACGAATTCCACGAAGACGTTTAAATTTGAGTTTTGGACTTTTATTATAATCGTGGTATAAAATAAATAGACCCAACACGAACCGAGAGCCTGCCACCTGAACTCTGGAAATAAATTAGTAGTTTCTTGTGATTCTGTGCTCTGGGTTTAGTAGTTGATTTTGGTTTTTTGTTATCGCTGAGCATATTTAAGCATACTTACGAACCTATCCTAATACATCAGTCGGTACATACCTACAGTATGTCCCTTCTCTAACCTAAGTGGCTAGGTACATAATTAATATTTAGGTTATTCCTGAACAATAATATTGTCGACCATTATAATATGTGAATTTGTGCCAGGTGATATATTAAATAAAGAAATTTGGTCCATTTGCTTGCATAATATATCAGTTAGGTAAACTGCATAGGTAATGGGGGAACAGTGGCGTATTTACTAATTACCATATTTTTTCCTTTGGAAATGTATGCGATAGCAATAACTATAGAGCAACAGATCCGTTTAAACCTGCAAACTAGAGTAACACTGGCAAAAAAACTGGAAATCGCAGGAAATTAAATTAAATTATCTCCGTGTATACCTACCTACTTATTATAAATTATAAGTACCCACTCTTACTTTAAACATTAAGGAATTATTTTTAAAACTTTTAGGTTTTTAAAGTTTTTTTTTTATTAGTCGTTAATATCGCTTGAAGTACCTAATTATAGTAATTAGTAATTACCAGCTATTTTACACCAAAACCAAAATAAGATTAAACAAGCAACAGAATTTCGATTTCTGATTTCAAATTGACACTAATACACCAATTAACATTTTAATTATTTTTCACTCCTCTAATTATTTAATTTTGGTCATTTTTTATACTTATTGAAAATATTTATAAATCCAGACATATAATGTTATATAAACGATCAAATTGCACTCGTTCTTTACATTATTATAAATTGGACGGTACGTGGGTAAAATAATAAGTAGGTACCTACCCATACATATACAATTTTTGTATTTTTTCGTGTCTTTAATAATTATTATCAATTATCAATGAAAAAGCTATTACCTATTTAAGTAAATACTGCCGAAATGAGATTTTTAAGTTTTGGTATTAGTAGTATTTTAGTATTTTACCCGCGAACCATCCAAATGAAACAAGAACTTATAGGTACTTATACTACTTTTGTAAGAGAAGAAGAAACCATGTGTCATGTGTGGTTACCAGAGTTGTAGCTAAGAGAACTAGGTACAGCCCCCGTATTTTAACGTGTTTATTTTAGCCTTTATTACAATTCAATGATAATACAAAAAAGTGTAATCGAAGGAATGCTTAAGTTTAGGGATTTAGATCCCTCATTCCCCGACCTCCATATAAAATAATTCCAAGCTACGCCACTGGTGGTGTTTATCTGAGAGTATATTATACTATCACGGTATAAATGGTCATAGAAAGTAGTGTACTTAGTTATACTTAAAATACACTACCATATACATTTACCATGTAGGTACGATGTACCTACAGGCTAAAGACTACAGTATACAAATAAACAGTGTATCTATATATACAGCAAGACCTCAGCATTTCGAAGAAGCAACAAAAATATTTTGATGTACAGAAGTGATTTTAAATATGCACGAAATTTGAAACGAAATTTTTCTTCCACAGAAATGTATTGTTATTGTTTTTATTATTCTATAATCCATAGGTTAGATAGGTAGGTACAAATTATTTTGTATGGATAGAAAATCTGTAATTTTTGTTTTTGTTAGGTACCTAATGTGTTTGTGCTTTCAATAAAATGACCTAAAATATTAAGGCAGACAAAATTTGTTCAGAAATTTCTGACTATTGCTGGACGCAATAAATCTTCGAAATTCAAGTGTATAATTAAAGCGTTGTAACGTTTTCGGTCACTAGCTGGGTGCTGAACACTGAAAGTCTTATATTATAAGCAATTATTTATTAACATTGTCATTAAAATTATTCTTCATCACATGGACATTATATATTTGTAAATTTCATCTAATCTGTCATACATTCGAGTTAGTGAATCATAATAATAAGCGGTGGGTAGTGGTGACTAGATAATGACTTCGAATTTGCATGTATAAAAATTCGACATAGGTACACAAATAAATTAACAAAAATTTGATGTTGAATAATTATTGATTGGGACTGAAAATAAAATTTGACATAATATAGAAACTTGGAGATGGTGAGGTGCCATTGAATATAATATAATATTATGGGTATTAGATATAATATTAAGTTTCTATGTTATATTGGTAGGTACCTAACCTATTTTTGTGAAAGAAAAAACAAGTTATTTTGAATAAAAGGTTACAATGGCAAAATCAATCGTCAATATACGTATCTGCAGTAGGTACAAGTATACCTAACTGCTTATTTGGATGTTATTGATATAGTTGGGGCAATGTGATTTCAATGTTATAAGTAGATATAACCTCGCCACTCGACCGCCGGTGAATCAACAAGTCTTTCTAAAAATATATTTACGATAACAATTTTTCGAGTTGAATTGTGACTAAGTACAATAAAAGCTTATATTATAATATTATACCATAAAATACTATATAAATAATTAATGTACTGCAGTGAGAGGAGATCTTTTACTTTTGTTTCGTATGAATTTTAAAAACCATTACATAACATATTTTATAAATATTACGTAGGTATGA